TACTATGGACGTATAGAACAACTCACAGGACAACCACAGGAGAAACCTCTTTTATGTTAGCCTATGGCATTGAAGCAATGGTCCCGATGGAAATTAGACTGCCAAGCCATAGGAGGCCAGAGCCAGAAGCCTTGGGGCATACAACTGAACACCTTGATCTCTTGGAAGAAGTACGGGAGCAAGCCGCTATAAAGGTGGCCTCTTACCAAACTAAGACAGCAAAACATTTTAATAACAAAGTCAAGACTCGGAGGTTCAGAGCTGGCGACTTGGTCTTGAGGAGGGCCGAAGCAGCAGGTCACCCTCCAGGGAAGCTCGGGCCCATCTGGGAAGGACCCTTTGAGGTCATACGACAGGTTCGCAAAGGAACGTACAGCCTAAGAGACACTTCGGGTATACCTCTTCCAAGGCCCTGAAATGCCGATAATCTGAAAATATATTACAAGTAACATTCTCGATGCCATCTAGGAGATTTTATTTTTATTCCTACATTTCTAATTCTTCTGAATATTATTTTTGGTTCTTCGGGCTTGTGTGCCCTTGCATTTTATTTCTAGTGTGACGGGCCTGCGTGCCCATGCATGTTTTTTGTTTTCTTTTGTAATGAACTACGTTCGGCTTGATCCTGTTTGGGTACGTAGGCAGCTTGTATGCAATATAAATCCGAGTGCAGTCCGAGAACTTAATAAATTCAAACCTCGGGTATAAAAGCCCTATAGTTTGCTTTGCGTTCAGGAATTACCTAAACCTTGCCCCGCGCAAGCACCAAAGCCTTGCCTCGCGCAAGCACCTAAGCCTTGCCCCGAGCAAGCACCAAAGCCTTGCCCCGCGCAAGCACCTAAGCCTTGCCCCGTGCAAGCACCCAAACCTTGGAGCCCATAATCAGCACATCAAAATCTTGCAGCACAAGTAAACATCTCGAGGACATACATCCCTGACCACCTATCCTTGGATTTTTGTCTGAGGTTCCAAAGTAAAACCTCGGGATATACTTCTGTACAGAGGTCGGGCACAATTCTTCGTATACCTCGAGGTTACCACCCCTCGCGATGATTCCTCGAGGTATTCATAGGATTGGTTCAATACTGACGTCGGGATAATTTTACAATCAAGGTGTTAAACTATATCCTGCATTCATCACTGTCCTCAGCCTTATGACATGCTTAAAATCGAATTAATTCTTCTCAATCGTCGAGATAATTTATCGTCTTAGTCGTCGAGATAATTAATTTATCTTAGATGTCGGGATATTTTTTACCGTCATGTGTTAAACTATATCCTACATTCATCACTGTCCTCGGCATTATGACTTGGTTAAAATCAAATTATTTCTTCTCAATAGTCGAGATAAATAATTCGTCGTCGAGATAATTAATCTTCTTTGTCTTCAAGATAATTAATTCTTCTCAGTTGTCGGGATAATTAATTGACAAAAGTCGTCGGCATATGTTGATGAAATAAAAATGCGTCGATAACACAAAATGAGCTCGGTAAAAAGGAAAAAACTATTTTCATTAAGATAGGGCATTTTACGTCAAAAATTACAAATTAAAATAAATACTCGGGGATTGATCAAATTTAGACGTCGGTGTTCTAACTGCCCTGGCCTTCCTCAACATCATCACCCTCAATATCGACGTCTTCATCCCCAGCATTTTCTTCAGACTCAGAAAGCTGAAGGTCATCAGCCACCTCGGGAATCGACTTCAGATCCTCAAGGCGAGCATCTGGCCTCAGGCGGATAAAAGCTCGAGCTTCCTTCAAGGCATGAAAGTATGAGCCCATAGCATACTCGCCCTTCAACTCGTTGAAGGCGACAGACTTCTTAAAGTCTTCAACCGCATCAACTTCAGCATCGGCCAGCTTTGCGTCCAATTCTTTTTGAGTATGCTCAAGCTCGAGTTTGAGGTGCTCAGCCTCGTCCTTCGCAGTACTGGCCTCATCCTAAGCATTGCGAAGATCATTTCTCATCTATTCGCGCTCTCTCATCAGCTGAGCACGTTCCTCCTCGAGGTCGGCGATCCTCAGATCTCGAGCAGAAATGGCACCCTCGAGGTCGGCCATTTTTGAAGACTCGTCTTTTCCCTTTAAGGAAAGACCTCGAGCTATGCCCAATGTCTGGAAAAAAGAGCGCGGGCAACTTAACCTTGGGAAGTAAAGATTGTAAAAAATGATAAAAATAAAAACTGTCGATGATCTTACCTTCAAGGCCATAGCCTCGAGAGCCCTCAAGCCATTGCTTAAATCGACGTCTGCCCGGTACTTATCAACAATGCTGAGCACGGACTGACACCGGGAGCATCCCTCGGGATTAGCAAGGCCCGGTGGTAGGCATTCATCCTCAAGGTCAACCACGTCAACAGGTCCTCGAGGATGAGGATCTCGAGGAGTCCCCAGAAGATCTTGTTGCTGAGTTCCCATTCTCTCTACTCCCGGAGACGGTCCTTGGGGCCTTGACGACTCACTGGGCCCACTTGTCTACTTTTCAAGCCTCGAATCCCGAGGTTTCTTTTGGCCCCTCCTTTGGCCTGGAGCCCGGGCCTGGGGAGCCTTTGACTTCTTGCTAACTGCCTGACGAAGGGCACTTGGGTTAAACGTCATTTTTGCAAAAAATGACATGTTATTAGCACGAGCATTAATAAAAATATAGGTCGGAAAATTAAAGCGTTAAAATCGCGTATTCTACCCTCGACGCCTTTCATGTTCGCAAGCTCGAGGATATCATCCAAATCATAAATGAGGGGCTCGAGTTCCTCTAGCATTTGCCTATGCCTCTCCAACGACTCAAAATACGCCTGACCCCCACAAAACCTAGTAGTATCGGGCACCCCCTACCGAAGACTAAAGGGAACATCGAGATCTTGAGGTATAGCATAAAACCACTTATCCTTCTACCCTTTCAGGGAGCTAGGCATCCTCGGGATTCTAAACCCACCTAGGGTTGAGAGATAGGCAAAACAAGAGTACTGGGGGAGTTGTTTTAGGTCGAAAACCATCCTACATAGGTCGACATACGGGATAATCCCGAGGTATCTACAACCAATAAAAAAATATGTCAACATCCTCCACCCGTTCGGCACTAATTGCCCCGGACTCATATTATGCTCGGTCAAAAGTGCGAGGAAAAAAGGATGCAGTGGCCACCTAAATCCCCCCTTTAGAGAATCTTTAAAAACGACAAACTCTCCTTCCTGAGCAATAGCTACCCTATCTTCATCCCTGGGAGATCTAATATCACAGTTCGGCATCAGGCCGAACTCCCTAGCAGTCGCCACTGCTAGGTGCTCCTTAAACCTACACGGTTGGTCAGGGTATACTAACGGTGTCGGGATATCCTGAGCTTGAGGATTAGCACTTATGGGGACGGCCATAGGAATTATTGACTGTCCTAAGTCCTCGGTTGGGGTTTATGAACTCGAGGACGATGTATCACTATCACTGCTCGACATCCTATCTTAAATTTAGACTTTTCTAAAAACAAACAACTTAAAGTCTTGAGGACTCACCTTATCCCGACGACTTCAACAAGGTTTACTGATAGTGAAAAAGTAAAAAAATGAATAGGAAATGAGGCTTATATAGGAAAACATGGGTGGCAGGCCAAAGGTCGCATCCTGAACCGTTCGATCATGTCACGTGTCGTACATCCTAGGGTCTAAAAGTTATACCGCCTTTGTACTAGGGCTGGCGTCACTACCACATCTGATGTCAGCCCTCACGAATCTTTCCTCTGCAATGAATTGTCGGGGGTATTATACCGATGACTGTAATTTTGATCTTTTGCACCTATCCTCATGCATATAAAATCGAGCACAGGTGCACGAGGGCCACTGATGTTACCAAATGTTGTTCCCGACGTATTGTACCCGAGGACTTTACTTCGTCGATTTGTGTATCAATATGCTCGGGATATATGTGCTCGGGATGTCTTTCACATGCCCGAGCTCTTGACCCAAAAGTTCATGGAACGTCATTCGACGTGTCCTCAGGATTATGACCTCGAACGTCAACGCTTTATCCAATGAGAAATTTATTCCGACTTAAACTCCTCAACCTATGTCTCCTATGCCCAGAAGAACTCTATTAAATGATTGGTATCCCAGTTATACCATAATTCAAACTCCTATCTCGCGTAGGACTCATTGGTATAAGATTGCAAAATCAAGCTATCCTATTACAAGTGCACTACGGAATCCTAGTATGAACACACCACCTACCTCTATAAATACAAAGCCCTTAATCATTATTCAGGTACGTTTTACATAATTTTCAGTTCATAGCCTTACGCACAAATTCTCTCTCTAACTTAAGCATCGGAGGGACGATGATGACACACCTCGACGCCTTTGTTTCAGGTATCGGAAGATCACGTTCGTGCTCGTCATCAGTCGTTCAGCTCGGAATTGCTCAGGTACGATTTTTGATAGCATCACTGCTGATTTTCTGTGGTCTTTATTCTATTAAACCTCCGGCTACTTAAGCTCTCGGCTTGCTGTATATTTAATCCCCAGAAGGGATTTCAATTCTCTCCCACGGAAGCCTCCTTCGCGTTGTTTTCTATCTGTATCTTTATTCTATTATGCCTCGGCTCTCTTTTTTTCTTCAGACTTTTGTGGGTATTACATTGATATATGTGTTTAGGTCAACTTTTTGCAGCCCACCAATTTGTTTCATTCCAATTAAAAGTCCAAAAGAAAACCCCATTTAATGTAGTGTTTTCTTGAAAGTCCTCAATTCTTCCATGTAATGCAAATGAGTCCGTTTCTTCATTTTCTCCTCAATTTTGATCCTCCATCTTTTATTTCGCGAGATTCTGTCCACAAACTCAATTTAATAGCTAATTGATTATTTTCTTTTCCAATTGCTTCAAAACGGGTCCATAACTAAAAACAAAAGAAAATTAACACAAATTAGGTAAAAATTAATAATTTGACAACATAAAAGCACAATTATGTAGTCCGAATAAGTGCACAAAATGCACTTATCACCCTCCAATTGTTTAGGGGTCATTTGACAATTTATACTAGTTCTTCTTCATCTTCCACTATTTCCTCGTTCTTCTTTGTCCTGCAACCGTTAATTCTGCTACTCGTATCGCCGCCAGAATCCTCCAGTCCAAAAGGTATCTATTTTCTTCGTTTCACTGGCAAATTTAAACTTGCGAGAGATTTTATGCTCTAAACTAATGAGATTTAGTTTTTGCTAGTTCAGATTTGGTATTTTACTGCTTGTTGTATTATTCTTCAATGATTAATTTTAATTGTTTTCAAGATGTTTAAGTGTTGGGTGGATGAATTGAAATTATTGGAGAGTTTTGCTTCTGGAGGTTTCTACTGAAAACCCAAGTCCACATCTTGCTAATGAATATATCAGCGGCGGCACCATTATTTTGGTCCTTAAGCCTCTCCCACCCCCACCCCACCCCACCCAATGGATGCATACTACAGCTTCACCATGGACCAGGGATTTAGGGTTTATTTCTAATTTAGGATACAAATAAATTTGAATTTGAATTATCAATAGGAAATTTGAATTTAGACCTTTTTTCCATCAGTTTTGATAGCATGGATCAACTTTTTAGGTTACAAACTTGCTCCATTTTACATTCGCAGGCTCATGGAGATTCTCTGAAAGCAAAGAACCTAGAAAGGGGCTTTTTACCTTTGCGCCTTAAATTAGACTATGCAATAAAATATATCTTGCCGACTGTTTTGCTTCTGATATTTTGGGAATTTTTTACTGTGATTGTTTAGCTTCCTGGTAACTCTACATTTAATTCCAGCAATACCATTGACTTCCAGCTACCCTTGATACGTGGACTACTTCATAATGGGGAACAAGTTAGAAGAAATAGAGAGCTCCATGGTTCTGATCAAGCAAGGTGCTGAAGCTGTAAGTTGGATTGTTTATTTTCTTGGATTATTAAGAACAGCTACTAGTAGCCTTGTAAGCTTTTGGCTGCTATAGTTTATTTTTTTTATTTTTAAAATTGTATTGGACCATGTCACTATAATATAAAAAAAAAAAGAAAAAGTGAAAAAAATAAAATACTTTCTCGCAGTTTCATATTCCCTGTTGATCATGCTCTAACAATTAGTAAATATGGACTAACTTTATTTCCCTATGATTTGTAATTCCGTCTTTGTAAATATGGACTAACTTTATTTCCCTATGATTTGTAATTTCATCTTGTATCTTATTTAGAGAGTCTTCGAGTCAAAATTTGTCGATAGGAGGTCTATTGTCAAGGAACGCTTTTCGAAGAAGTATAGGCATCCATCTTTGGACTCAAAGCTCACACTCAAACGCTTAAATGCGGTTGGTGTTTCTATGTCAAGTCACTTCCTTTCGTGATTGTTAATTATCATAGTTATCTGCTTTTTTGACTTCAGAATTTAAATTTTGGAGCAGGAGGCAAGGTGCATGACAAAAGCTAGGCGACTTGGGGTTCCCACTCCAGTGCTTTATGCTGTCGATCCTTTGTTACATACCTTGACCTTTGAATATGTTGAGGGTCTCTCAGTGAAAGACGTATTCCTTGACTTTGGATTACATGGTATTGTTGAAGAACGGATGAATGATATTGCGACTCAAATTGGTGATGCAATTGGCAAACTGCATGATGGTGGCCTCATCCATGGTGATTTAACGACATCAAACATATTAATTCGGAGTGGTACCAATCAGCTGGTGGGTTATTTCTCCATCAGTTGTTTATAGGTTTTGGTTGATCTTTTTTTCTACCTTTATGAGCATCATTTACCTTTCTCGAGGGTCAATTTTCTAAAATTCATCTATTCTACTTTGTCAGTACTCTCTCTTTTCCACTCCATCATTTTCATTTGGGATGGGGGTGTGAACCCCATGCAAATCGAAACCTAAGTTGTATAAAGTTGGTGATTCTGTTTTTATCTTCTCACAGGTAGTCATTGATTTTGGTCTAAGCTTTACATCAACCCTTCCAGAAGACAAAGCAGTTGATTTATATGTACTTGAACGAGCTTTGCTCTCTATGCATTCTTCATGTGGAAATGTGGTGAGCATCCTTATCTACCATACAATTTTCAAGATGCCACACTTGATTGTCAAGGAGACATAAGAAAGCAAAAAAAAAACGAGTCATTGCAATTATTTCCTCTCTTTGTTGGCAAAAGATAATTAGACCCTCATGTTATTCTTTTGCCACTGATTTGTCATTTAGTATGGTGTAACAGTCTTTATTGGATATAGAGCTGTGGAAGGTCGAGCGAACTTGCAATTCCACTCTTTTCTTGTCTTTTCATTTTTCACTTTTTGGTTTGGGGTGGTTGGTTGGGTGGGATCATGTTTGCAAATCAAAGAATTATAGAATCATTGTGCAAGACAACTGCAGAACTGGTATCATCATTTTATCCACACATGGGAGTATCTCTTTGCAACGAACTGTAGTTTTTTTATGCTGTTGTCAACCGATATATTCCATACTGATTAATAAATCACCAATTGCTTACCTTTATTTCTTGATTAAAAGACGCACTTGAATTCAAATTGATCTTTTTGTAATTTTTGCATAGATGGATAGAATACTTGCTGCATACAGGAAGTCCTCAAAGCAGTGGTCATCAACTTTAAATAAGCTAGCCCAAGGTGCCCTTCGGTTTAGACATTTATTCCTAATGTGATGTTATATGTACTATTCTAAATTTTGTTTCCTTTTTCCATTGGTTTTCTGACCTATTTCAGTGAGACAGAGGGGAAGAAAGCGCACAATGGTGGGTTGAGCTCTGTCAATTATGTGCTTCACACAATGGTAAAAACTGAAATCAAATACTCTTGTTACCGATTTTTTTTAGTATGTTAATAGATATCTCTATTTAGTACTAAATGAAAATCTTAATTTGGTGATTAAAGATTCCAGTACCACGTCATCCAGTTTTATGATCTTGTATTTCGCCATTCACACTGAATAATAAGCTTTCCCTCAAGTTATATGAAAATCGGGTTCTGCGGTGGATGATTGGATAATGATACAACCTTACCAAATAAAAGGGGAAAAAATTATTTCAATTATGGGATGGCACAATTCTGCATATACTGTACGTGCCTTCATCACTATGATTTATAAAAAACATTAATCATATGGTCTGTGTCATATCCTCTTGTGGAGGAGGTTCAATCTTAAGTTGTACTGTTAATGACGTTGAAGGACGCTAAATTCAAATTACGAATGTTACAGTTAGTGCAGATTTTGTTGATAAATTGAGTTGATGGGCCGTGCATAATACAATGGTATATGCCAACGTATATTTTTGCATTTTGCAGACCCATTGATGTTTGTATTTTGCACAAGGCTATTTGCATTTCTTCGCAAGGTTGTATCCTGCTTTGGAAATGAATTATAGTGATGAGTCTTGGGCTTTAATTCTCTGAATAATTCAGTAACAGGAACATAATGCTTACATTTTTTTAAGGAAAATCTGGTAAATATGATTTCTTAATGCTCATTATCCAGGAAATGTCAGTGGCAGGAACTTATTGTTATAACTTAGCTAAATTTGAGCATGATCATAGGTGCTCATCCCCCCCCCCCCCCCCCCCCCCCCCCCCCCCCCAAAAAACA